CCTCCAACTCCTGGGCTTAGGTGATTCTCTTGCCTCAGCCTCCTGAGTAGCTGAGACTATAGGTGCCCGCCACAACACCCAGCTATTTTTTTGTTACAGTTTGGCCAGGGCAGGGTTTGAACCTGCCACCCTCGGTATATGGGGCTGGCGCCCTACCCACTGAGCCACAGGCACCGGCCTGCAAAACCCTATTTCTAAAAAAAAAACTTTTCTTTTCTTTTGAGTCAGAGTCTTACTTTGTCACCCTCAGTAGAGTGCCATGGCATCATAGCTCACAGCAACCTCAAACTCTTGGGCTCAAGGAATTCTCCTGCCTCAGCCTCCTGAGTAGCTGGGACTACAGGTAGCGACCACAATGTCCAGCTATTTTTAGAGATGGGGTCTGGCTTTTGCTCAGGTTGGTCTCCAACTTGTGAGCTCAGGCAATCCACCTACCTCGGCCTCCCAAAGTATTAGGATTATAGGCGTGAGCCACTGTGCTCGCCACTCCTCTTTTTATTCCTAGAAAAAAAAATACTCTTGGTGGTAGGTTATGAGTGATCTGAGAGTAATTCAATTTTCTCTTCAATATACATGGTTTATAATCCGAAATTTATCTCCCTTCCTTTTTTAGACAGGGTGTCATAGTCAGGCACGCTGGAGTACAGAGGTGTCAACATAGCTCTCTATAACCTCAAGTTCCTATGTTCATGCAATCCTCCTGCCTCAGCCTCCTAAGTAGCTATAACTACATGTGCCATAACACAGCCAGCAAATTTTTCTGTTTTTTTAGTAGAGATGGAGTTTCACTCTTGCTCTCCTGGCCTCAAGCGATCTCCCTGCTTTGGCCTCCACAAGTGCCTTAGCCACCAAGCCTGGCCAAGAAAGTTATCCTCTTCTTTTTGGTTTTGTTTTGTAGACTGTCCTGAGGAAAAAAGTTATTGCTTTTTTAAAGAGCTAAGTCAGGCTAGCATTTTCCTGGCCAAACCCTATCAGATATAAAGCCAGGTACCCATCTTTCCTCTTCCCAGGGCTATGCGTTTCTCCCTCACTGTCCCAAAGAATACAGACAGGTTCCCTTTAAGATTTGTCTTTAGGCTCGGCGCCTATAGCTCAACCGGCTAAGGCGCCAGCCACGTACACCTAAGGTGGCCGGTTCGAATCCCCAGCCTGGACCACCAAACAACAATGACGGCTGCAACCAAAAAAATAGCCGGGCGTTGTGGCGGGCGCCTGTGGTCCCAGCTACTTGGGAGGCGGAGGCAG